TTTTATTTTTTTCTGTTTTTACAAAATGTATTAATATAGCCATCAGGTGCGTCTCTGCTAGTACCCTACACATATCACTTTCACTTACCCCTAGCGCCGCGGCCATGAATACCTTAAGATTTTATGCCATAACCTCCACAAAACTAGTACCGACAGGACTTTCAAAATATAGGGATCAAATACTAATAGCAACTTTGTTCGACTTACGATTGCCGGGGAGACATCTTTGCTGCTTGTTCCCAATTAACCCAAGTTGTGGTTGTTGGAATGGGTCGGATTTTGTGCCGTCAGCGCGCGTAGCCCGGGGGAAACGGCCGTGTGCCGCTGGTACAGTGATGACTGTACATAACAATCTTCACCTTATATCGCCTTCATGTCCAAATCTACTAAAAGGGATTAGTAGAGTCCTCATTGCATTGCATTGATGCAAGGTACATGTACGTGGAGCCACATTCATCTGTGCCTTTTCAACATGCGGTAGCCCTGCTAATTTCCTTCAACGTTGATTGCACCAACGATTTTTATGTTTTAATTTAATCCATGACATACCAGCTTAGCCTACATTGTTATAGTAATGACGAGTTTTGTGGATTTTTCTAGAAAACCCAAGAAGAAAATTGTTCGCAGCCTGCGCAGCCTACACCTCCGGCAGCAACTAAAGAAAGCTGCGCATTTACATGCATACACAAGTTAATTCTGAACGAATAACTGAATGTATTTGTATGAATGAAGGGGGCAACGGACAGAAACCATTCCCCCCAGGAGCTAAAAAAATAACTCATAAAAGAAATGCAATTCTTTAGGGGGCCTACTTTATCTTGTTTCTTCTGTTCTTCAAATCATGTATAAAAGCCACAAAACCCGATTAAAGTTTGCTTCTCAGCTGGATTCGCCCTGAATAAAAAGCTGTTTCTACTTGGACTAAATTTGCGCGTCACATGCATTTGACGTAAAGTTTGGGATAGGCACAGTTACTTACAGCTACAGCAAAACGCAGGGAGCTCAGACCTTGCAGGTCGATTATCCGGATCTACTTGTAATCAAATTAATTAACACCTCCCCGACAGTTTCTTATAATTTCTGTTGCTGTTTTGTTACAACTGAGGCTGGAACCCAGCCGA